CATTCATGGAGATACGCGACGCCACGACAAATATCTAAAGCAAATTTTATTTTGGTTTCCCAGTTCATCATATCTCTAAATTTGGTATAATATTCATATAAGTTTCCATATTCCATCCATTCAGTAACCAAATAAAATTTGGAATCATCTTGAGCCACACCAAAAAATCTTATAATATGATCAGAATTTTTTAACTCTTTTAGAATATTGACTTGTACTCTGATTTCAATTTGAGTTTGAGAAGATGCATTATTTGAAAATTCTTTAAATGAAACTTCAGTGCAATCTTTGGATGATGTTCGTTTTTCAATCCTCTTTGAAGGAGAAACATTTGTCCTTCGATATTGACTGCCATCAAGCAATGGTTCGTTCTCTTCAAGGTCTTTAAAATCAAATGGATCCAAATTTTTTTTTTGATGCTTTTGATATTCTTTGTTTTTCCCGGCTATTTGATCCATTCCGTTGAGGAAATCTTGTTGGTCATCAGAGACGCCATAAACATAAAATAAGATATCTGCCACACCATCCTTTATTGTTATCAAATCATTTCGAGATTCCACAGCAATAGAAAGTTGTAAATTACTCATATATCCGTCAAATTCCTTCGTAAGTTTATTAAAAGTTTCGTTGATATCACTCGTTTGAAAAACTCTTTGAAGTCTGTTTAAATGACTAATATTCTCAATAAAATTTCTGATTTCTCTTATACAATCTATAAACGTTTTAAACAATTTTAGATTTTCTTGTTTAGAAAAAAATTGTTTATTTTCAGTTTTTCTAATATCTAAATCTTTGACCGTAGCATTTGCACTGTTAACCCTTTCACAAAGGATACTACATAATTTTTTATTATATTCGGCCTTTTCATACAATAGTACAATTTCATTTCCCAATGAAAAGAATGATTTGATTATTGGACAAAATTCTTCGAAACTTTGAGCTATACAATGTGCCCCTTTTACCGCGGAACGAAATTTCAAACCGCGACTGTTTAATTCCAATGTACTTTCACAATCATTCTTTGTTCTTTCATTATCTAAACTCATTTTATTTAATTCACTAGTTATTCCATTATCATCTTGTGGATACATTGACGGTGAAGGACAAGGAGAAAGTGAAGGAGAGGGAGAAGGAGATAGAGATGAAATAGAATTCGTATCTACATCCAAGTTGTTTTTGCTCTTCGATCGTCTTTTATTTCTACTAAACATCGTAATCAAGCGGGAAAATAAAAAGAAATTTTATATCGTTAACATTCGACAAAATTCTGTTTAATTAAATAACATTCCGGAGTTTTATCGCCGCATTGCAGGAAAAAAAGATATATATATATGCATATCATTATGCAATATCCAAAAATGGGTCAAAATAAAAACATTTTAAAATTGACGATTTTTTTTTTGGAATGACCAAAAATAGAATATTCACATGCATGCTTCCGAATGAAAGAAATTTTTATTCATTGTTTTATTTTACTAAAATTATGTTACACAAAACTATTTGAAATCGAGAATTTAATTTTTCGGACTAATTAATCAGATACGATTTTTCATTAACTGCTGCACACCTTGATGAATTCCATTGAGAAATCGTTTCTTTTTCCAAGAAAAAAAAAATAAGAAATTCAACTTTTTTTATAGACAAAAAAAAAAGTTCCCAAAGTTATTGTCAATTCGGTACTTAAAATAATAACGATTTAGGAACGTTTAACGGGAAAGTTTATTCGACGAAAATTATCATGAAAACTGTATATAGTATTATAAAAACTAGGATTTTTTGAAGGATTAATTAATTATTAGATTTGAAAAGCATCCTATGATCACAGGTTACCTCGAATATTGTATAAAAAGGATGATTCACACTCAAAAAAGGATGCTCGGAATTAAGACGAGTATTTAATATTTGATATAATCTGTGAAATCGAGAATTTCTACTTATTATAAAGTTCATTTTGATCTTTATTAGTCCATTAGCCTCTTAAATAAATAAATTTTCGATATTTTTGGTCTTTTTCAAGGAAAATGATCAACGTAATAATTATCGCGTCTCGAAAATTTCTAATTAAAAAATTTGATAAAATTCAAGATTTTTTGTTTCACGTGCATTTAATGAAAACCATGGCTTGTGAATTTTTAATTTAGTTTAAATGAGAAAAATGAATATGAACTTATATCTTACTCTACAAATTGTTTGTCATTCCTTAATGTTTGACAGGATAAAGAAACAAAATGTTTTTAATCGATTCGGCTGCAATCACTGGTTTGAATTTCTGGTTACAATAAAACATTTTTTATTTAATTTGGATTAAAAAATTCTTCCATTAAATGCTTGTGAAACATTCCAAATGAAATCGACGAATCGCGAATTGCATCTTCAACAGGGAGAATTGTAAATGTTGATGAATTAACTTTATAGTCTTCCGAAGGTGTCGGGCTTCATTTTCATAATTAGAACCACTGTTTGTAGTAAGGTTGCCGGGCAAAACCCGGAGGTTTCGACAGGCATCGAAATCGAAACCCATCGAAACGTTTTGCCAAATTTTT